CATTTCTGCATTTTCAAAGAGAATATCAAATCACAATGCAGTCCTTCCAAATGTTGGTATTATGGTCAAGCCACCGGCTTTAATGCAATGCCTAGGCTTCGCGATAATAACTGTGTACAGTTAGACTAATTCCACAAGCTTCTGACTCTCAGACTTCTCATTTTGAAAAGGAACTAAATATTTCCAAGTTCTACATATGTGAAACAAATTTTTAAAAATACATGTGGTGCCCATAAAGCAGCATCTACCGTAGCAGAAGATCATGTTTTTTTTAAAATTAGCAGCGTCTGTTAGTTCCATTCTAAATAAGTTATAACCGTGATCAACACTGCATATTCCAGTTACATGCACATGGAGTTACACCTAATGCTTACTTTGGGGCTAGTTCTTGAGTAGCATTTTATTTATTCCTTCTAAAATATGTGTACTTCCCAATGCTTCCTCCAACAACCTCTGTTCTGTTGTTTTAGATGATATGCAGGACATTCTGAAGGTGCATCAAGAAGGCTGAATGAGAGAATAAGAAATTCAACTGCTGCAGGAACATTTACAGTTACTGGTACAATATAGAACATACTATTTTCACAACCACACATTATGACACAGGGAAGGACATTAAAGGTAAGAAATTGTGATGGTCACAGAGTGGAGTCTTCTGATTTTAACTGTATTCATTTGGTGTTGTAATTAATACTAGTTTCCTCCCTCAGAATTGTTCAAAAGTCATGTTCTGAATTACTTTAATGCTTGTTTTCTGGAATTGTCTTTCCCTTTAAATGAATTAAATCATTAAGATAGAAGAAAATATAAGATTCAGCTGTCCATCAAAAGGACAAAGTTCAAAAGAGAAAGGATAACTTCTAAATAGTTTTATTTTTTAATTTCAAGAAATAGTAAAGGTTGAGATATGTAAGACACTCAGCAGAGGAACACCAAAAAGAAAGTAAAAGACCTGAAGTCTGAGGAGAACCTATTCCCTGGTCATCAAGGAGAGGAATACACTTAGCTAGATAGGTAAAAAATAGATAAACATTTTGTTTTTGAAGCTAATAATTTCAAATCCAAAGTACTCTGGATTTAAAAGCAGAAGATATAGGGAAACTAAGAGGTATGTTTTAACCTCCACTGTTTAGTTTACATAACTATACTTATTTAGAAAATGTATATGCAAATATGAGGGATATGCTCATATATGTACTTATAAATGCACCTAAAATTTAAAAATCAATTTATTAAAATATAGTTACAGAACACTACTTACAATGACAACCTCATTATTATTCTTGCTTTAGTTTTAAATGATATATATATATATATCATATATCTATATGATTATAATATATATGATAGAGATAAAAAGTTAAACACAGAAAATGTTCATAGTTTGTTATAAAAAAAGAGCACTTGTGTCATTCAACAAATCAACATGTTTTTGTTTGCTCTCCTTGGAAGTAGATACGGTAAAACTTGTTCAAGGTGTGTAAGTGTTAGATCTGTATCTGGGACCATCTGGAAGCACAAATGGTCTGCATTCAGGTTATAACTCAAGACACAGTAAGTTAAATCTCTTCATTTATTTTTTCATCACTGAGTTTATCAGCACTTTTCAGGTATACAGTACAGTGACATTCAGCATTGGGACTTTGTACCTTTACACGGCAGATCTTGGTTCTCATTTTTTCCCCATACTTCTGCCCTCCCTTCACCCCCTTTCACCCCCTCCTATTTGCAAAGACTTACTACTCAGCAGTCAAGAATGAGAAACTAGAGGTATTTATAGGAAAATGGATGCCTATTGAGGCCATATTCTTAAGTGAGATGATAATATGAAATAGTAAGAAAAAGTCTAAAGGTGTAGGGGAAGTGGGAAGTGTAGGGAAAAGGAAATAAGAAAAAAGAAAACATATGAGAAAAGGAAAAATTGGATAGTAAAAGTAAATTAAATCTAAAATTCCAGTTGTAATCTAAGTTGTTCATATGTCAGGCCAGTCATAAGTCGAGGGTCCTCTGTATTGGGAGAAGCTAAATGATTACAGATGTTGTCAAGATAATATGAAGAGTTCCTCTTCATAATATGAAGAGTATACTCTTCATTTGTTTATTGCTAACATTAGCATGTAATATTATCATAGTTACAAATGTTGAACTTATTGAAATTTGTAGTGAAAAACAGAAGAAAATTGATTTCATTCATTTTTTAACATCATATTCACAATAGTCTTTTCTATACATTCTGGATTTCAGTTCAGAAGAGTGCATAGCATTAGAATAAAAAAATGTTTTAAATGACTAAAGTCTTAAATTTATCATCAGTAAGAACAAGAACACTGTTTTCTCCATTATGAAAGTTTAACATTAACTTTAGAAATTATATCTGACAAAAGAGTTTTGGTTTGCATGCAGTTGATAAACATTTTAATGCTAAAATTATATTACTCTTAATATTTGCCAGATAAAGAAAGTGAAGATATTAAAGATCATTTAACTATTACATTAATATATTGCTTGGTCTTTCTCTCCAAAGTCAAAATCAATCAATCCATCTGTCAGTCTAAATTTGTTCCAGGAAAGCCACTTTAAATGGTAGTATATAAATGTAAGTAGCATGAAGCCCACAAAAATTTATTAAAATATCACTAAGAACATTTAGCAGTGCTTTGCATTTAAAATAAAAGGAAAAGTATTTATTGATCATGGCCATGGTAAAGAAGGAATTAGGGTTAACAACAGCACGGCATTTCTGCCATGTGTCAGCGACTGAATATTTCTTCTTACTCAAAAACATCTGGATTTGTGATGCCCTATGTGGTTTTAGTCTATTCCTTGACTGCATATTATGGAAACCCAGAGATAGACCATTGCATTCTAGTCACGAACAGAGGGAAATTCAGGTTTTGAGGATTTTAATAACCTGTTCAATGTCAACACAAATTAGCAGAGCCTAGTTTTGAATCCAAGTCAGCCTGAGTTCAGGGTCTCTCCTTCGGATAGTGAGTTCAGAATACAAGATTCATTTAGGAATGTCTAAAACATTGAAAAAGCGTGGAAGTGGCTGCTTTAAAGTATTAAGAAAAAGAGAGATGTTAACATACGCCATAATTTATTTTTAAATACCACTGACATTTAAAACGATTTCTATGAAATGAAAATGCCACTTATAGATCAGGTTATTTATAGCTCTAGCAATAATCCCCTTTTTCTTTTATTAATATGCTTAATAAACATAAATGTAAGTTAAGACATGGTACTATACATATACATACAACCTAGAAAAATATGACTTGGCACTTGGTAACAAGTGTGACTGAGAACATGTTCTTCAATTCTCAATTTTTAATAAAATTGAAATCAAAAATCAAAGTAATTATCTAGATGAAACATGTATTCACCTAGTTCTACATCAGTTTTTCTGTTTTGTTTTGTTTTTTTTTTACAAACTACCTCATTCAAACATCTGCAAAGAATTGGAGACTTTAATGTCTACAGATGAACAGAGACTGTAGAAAAACCACCCTTCACTAAGTCTTCCACTGGAAAAGAAAAATTCCCACTTTTTGCTGCTGCTCTTAGGTGGAGATATTAGTTAGGGAACACAGGCTCCGAGTCTGGGTATCTTTCCAGAAGAATAAAAAGAATCATATCACAGTGACATATGCGCACCTATGTTTTTTTTTTAATTTTATTGAGTTTATTGGTACATTTTAGGCACCTATGTTTATAGCAGCACAATTTATAATATCTAAAACTTGGAAACAGCCCATTTGCCCATCAGTTGGAAAAGGGACAAAGAAGATGTGGTTTTTCTATAAAATGGAATGCTACTCAGCCATAAAGAATGAGAAATTAGATTCATTCATAGGAAAATGGATACATTTTGAGGATATATTCCTAAGTGAAATAAATAAGTCACACGTGTATGAATACTGAATAGTTTCTCTGGTGTGAAAAACTAT